CACCAGGAAAAGAAAAAGTAGGCACATCGTTTGTCTTTTCCAGAATTCTGTAAAAGGAAAATAAAAGATAAATTTTTTTCACTGCTCGTCTGCGATTGGTCCCAGCTTAAAAACATGTTTAAAACTTCATAAACGTTTGAAACTGTCTCCACTTTTCTAACTTCTTATGGGGCCCAGTGGCATTCAGCTACCTGAGATAACAATAAGTCTGTTTATGGTTTCATTCCACGGGAGCAGGTGTGTCAACATTCTTCAGTTCACATGAGGTCCAGGACTGAACGCTGTGCACAGAGTGCAGGTACCATTACAGCTCCGTGCAGTGAAGGAAACAGCAAATCCACTCGTGTTTACAGGCAGTAATCAGGATATGTGCGTGGCTGGGTCAGCAGTTAACAGTTATCAGTATTTAGCAGCATCTCCTACGCTCTGTTCAGACTAAACACTGTCCAGTGTGTGATTCATACACCTCAGCAGCCTCCAGTGAGGTCAGCGTTTCCCCTTACCCTGTGACCATGTGACCTCACATAATCATAGGTCTACACTGTGGTATTGTAGGGGAATTAAGCTACCCCGCAGTTGTTTTACAGCCACGTTGACCTTGTGCGCTGAATAGCTCCGCATGCTCCTCCCAAACCCTTAAAGCAGTGGAGTAAGTGTAGCTGCAGGCGGGCGACTGTTGACACCATAACTGCAGAGTTTCAGCGTTGCTGCCTGCTCGTATTAAAGTCTCCTAAACGCTGAAAGAAGCTCACAGCCGCACATGTACTGTGTCTTATTCTGGGACTGAAGATGAGCTTAACAGGGAACTGATCTCATGCTTTGTGTGTCACAAGCTCAAGCTCTCAGTTTTCTCATCTTTTTTTTGTCATGTTACACTAGTGGACGGGCATTGGTCTTTTCACATAGCTGAGTAATTATAGCTGCTCTGAGCTGAGCTGCCTTGCTCTGTGGCACAGTTGCTGCAGGTGGGACGTGGAAGCAGCAACCAAACCGTGTGTTTGGTTGCTGCCAGGATTTCTGACTCGAGCTGCGACATGTTTCCTTGTAGATTATATGATTGAGGATTTTACGGTCGGGGTAATGATTCACAGAGGACAAACGTCTTGCTGTAAACTCAAATCCAGATTGTTGCTGAATGATTAACCACGGAAGCTGAAATCAGACCGTGCAGTAAGAAGATTTCCTCAGACCGTCTTTAGGTGACTCTGGGTGAGCGAGCATTCCCCTGCTGGGGCTCCTGACCCCTGCCTGCCTGAGGATTAATCCAGCATGACATTATGTTGTGTTGTCATATATTGAAGCAGAAGGAGAAAAAATTGCTGGGGATTTTGTGGGATTAGAGTTTGCGTGTTATGTCATCAGTCACTCTGACAGTTGCTATAATGCTCGACTCCTGGCGAGGCCGAGCTTGTGGTTCTTTCACTCACCTGTGCATAAGCAGAGCTCTCCCTCTACAGCACAACACAGTGTTATTGGGATCATCTTGTTGTTTGAGTGGAAATAACTGCTTCGCCAGTTAACTTATGTCACCAACAAGTCATCAGGGTGGTTAACCTGCCCGGTGTAGCCTGGTGGCCCTGGTTGCTTCAGATCAGCTTTGCTGTCAGTAAAGTGTGTCATTGGCGACACGGAGCGGCTACTATTTGCATTCTGGACACCGATGTTTTCAGAGATGAGCGCCTCTCGCTGCTTCCTGTGACATTCTCTGCGTGATCAGACGAGCTGTCTCGGTGGTCGTGGGCAGCGTCGTCCTGTTTCATGCTGAAGAACAATCTCAAACCAGTTTCAGCATCTCCATCCATCCTGTTCCGTTTATCCTGATCAGAGTCACGCGGCTGGAGCCGATCCCAGCTGTCACGGGGCGTGAGGAAGGGTACGCCCAGTTTGTCGGACACAGCGAGGCAATTTCAAATCCCCAATCAACCTAACCCACTGACTGTCTTTGGACTGTGGGAGGAGTTTGCACAGACTTTCATACAGTCAGACTGTATGAAAGAGACCATAAAGGTTAAACGTGTGTGTTTGAGGTCCACTGAAAAGTCTCGTGTTTCCTCGTCTACAAATCATAAAGCCTAAAAGCCTTGCAGACCTACAATAAACAGCACCTGAAAAGCTGGTGTGTCCTTTGACCTTTGACCTCCCTGCTCTTATATCTGGCCTTCCTCCTCCTCACCTTCAGATAACCCTCACAGACGGGGCATTAATAGAAAGCCCAGGATGTCCTCTTGTTGTTACAGCAGGATACACGTGATGCTATAGATTGGATAAATGATGCTCGGTGTGGAGGTCTCAAACTCATTTCCTCAGGAGGGTAAACAGCAGTCGAGCTGATGCTGTGTCTACTTTGAAGAAAGAACAATGTTATGAGGAAATGAAAGTCGTTGCCTCGTTCCTGCTTCCTTGGAGCTGCTCATGTTCCTCGTGTTGCTGCTAGATTGGCCTTTGTGTTCATGTCAGGCTGTATTATTGTTTATATTCAGTAGAGGAGTGTGGAAGCAGAGTGTGAGGAGGCTTAACCTTCACCTCAGCTGACACACACAGGCTTACAGCACAGACTGTATATAAAGGAGACTTAGCAAGACACACACACACTCAAGCATATGTTGGCAGACAACACAATAGAAGCTGCCCTTTCCATGGATTTCCTTCCTTTGTTGAATCCAGATTATTTCCGAGTGGCCGCACCAGAGTTGTCAGCAGCAGGAGGTGAAAACAGCAGCTCAGCTCCAGCTCGGGGACATTTGCTCAGGTCCAAAAGCCCCAAAATCTTATGAGTTTTTAATCCCAGGGTGGTATTCTGTCCCACTGCAGGAGCTGGGCTAATGAAAAGCCTGTCCTCCTGTGGTTATGTGGAAATGGAAGCAGTTGAAGGCCAGGCAGGCAGCGAACAAAGACGTACGGTATCTCATCCTGCAGTGAATCCAATGACATTGTAGGCTGGGTGGCACAGATCACTCGGCTAACCGTGCAGCTGGTGCAAATGACACACTGTATACTAAACACACAGATGATGTGGGGTTAAATATGGAAACTGGGGCAACGTTTGTGACCAGCATGGCTTTGAGGTGGAGGCAGCAGCGTGTTTGCGACACACCCTGGTCTGTGCCGGGGACTCGTACGGCTGCTGGTGCAGATGAATACGCCTGTGAGAGTTTGTTTACGCTCCCAAACGTGAAAGCTGCTTGTCATTCATGACAGTCGCAGTTTAAGCCGCGATCACGTTTTCTGTGTTTCTCACTGATTGTGCGAGGACGTCTTTTTCCAACAGGCACCACATGTTGCTTCTGTAAATATAAAAATATCAGACGTCACATGTCAGGCTGTGCTTCAGCTCCAGCTCCTCCCGTTTCGTTCTTAAATACCCCGAGTATGGCGGGTCGAGCGTGCTGAGGCACAGACAAAGGTACTCGCGTGAATGCGCGTGTGAATGGATGAATCAGGCTTTTATAAGGAAGCACCCACCTTACCTTCAGTCAAAACTTTATGGCTCAAAGGTGAGTCTGTTGAATCTCTCAGTAGCCTTGAGATGAACCTGTACCCACCAGTATGTGAAAATATAAGAACCCCAAATGAGTCTAAAGAGTGCAAGAGAATTGTTCCTAATTGTCATTAAAGGCTGCCAAACTACAAATCAACACTTCTTCTACCCAGTTATGTGACTGGGAGCGTTTCTGGGGAGGATACCTGTACCTGCTCTTTGTGCAGTCAATAAGAAGATCATCCAGTAGATGGGGCTAGAGAGTTGAGTTGGTGCTGGCCTGCTGTGTTTGCACTGCAGATGTGTTGCATGCATGGACTAATGATATTTATTCATGTGTGGATACGAGTTTAGTTAGCACACCCAACGTAGAACATATATTAAGTCAATGCAGGCTGGATGTTGTAACGCCCTCGACCCTGACCGTGGACCCAGTGTTTTGGACACAGTGGACCTGATGATGAGAGTGTGGAGACAGATTAATGTGTCTGAGCAGCAGAGAAAGGCTGGCTGCTTCTGTGGCCAAGATAATCTGGCATTATAGCTGGAAGATGACACAGCAGGACTCTGCAGATTCCCGAGGTGCCCATTGGTCAGCTGAACTCATGTGTAGGCACAGACTGTGCTTCTGTCTGGTTCCAGCTCATCGGTTTCATTCAAACACCCTGATCTCGTTTGAAACTCCGCCCCCTTGTGGCAGATGGAGTTTTTATCAGTGGAAAAGTTTTCTTGTGTGTGTTTCCCTTCGAGCACAGGAGCGGTCAGGTTTAGTCCTTGCTGGTGGTAGACTTTAGCAGGGGGAATGCCAGCTAACGCAGGTCCTTTGGCTACGCCTGTCCTACCTCAGGATACAAATCTGAAGCCCAGTTCAGTTCATGCCAAATGTTTTTCCTCTGATCACACCAAGCAAGCATGACTTCCTGAGTAAATGATCCAGTGGGCTGGAACTGAGTTTTTCTAACTTCCTTTGACCACTTCTCCTATCATTTCCATTTTTCACTTTCTTCCTCTTTCCGTCCGCTCGTTTTGTCTTCATATACCTGCAGAGGTTTGCAGACAAAATCCAGGATTCAGGACTCCGTGTTTGTAAATTAACCTGCGGGTGGGACTAGTAATCCCGGTGCTTCCCTTAATCACCAGGTTTAAAGAAGAGTGTTTTAAAGGTGCAAAGCTAGAGTGATGACATCATGCTAATGAGTGTGCCAGGACTGTGCTTTACAAACAGGTTAGCAGCTCAGCTCGTACCCTGAGCTGCAGGCAGTGACGAGCTGCTCGGGGCAATGATCCCATGTCTAATTACACCCGAGCATCTTTACTGATCACATAATGCTGATAAACCTGTCATAGTTGGTTGGATGGTTCAAGCTGCAGATACAAATCTGCTGGAAGTAAAAGGCCGATTGACTTGGATTACTTTAAAAGATGACGATCTTCACTTTAGGTGAAATTATGTTTCAAGTGAATCTGTACCAGGAAAAAAACACAGGGACTCTTGTTTATTCGTGCGTCTTTCTGTCTGCAGCCATGGCGGAGTTAGACTTGAGTCTGAGCGATGCGCTGACGGACAGCGTTCCCCAGCCCGGCCCGGAGAACATGGTGCACCGGGACTTTGTGGCTGAGCTGGAGGCGGAGCACTTTGACGATAAGGTCGGAGAGACGGTGGGAAAGACGGACTACATCCCGCTGCTGGACAACGATGACACCAGGGCAGGTGAGATGAACGTGATGTCGTCAGTATCGTATGGGCAAACACATGCAGGGGAACAGCATGTTTATCTGGATCCATCGACCTAAACGCAGCATTCATTCTTCTTTTTCCCTCCTAAGAAAAATATCTTTCACGTAGCTTCTGATTAGCAGCTGGTTAAGAAGGATTCCTGCTGTCACCGTGTGCACTGTGGGTTTGTCAGGGGGATGCTGTGGCTAGCAGGACGGATGTTGTAAAAGATGTTCACATGCAACAACATGCAACATGCATGCTCTGCAGCGCTGAGGCAAACTGCTCAATAACGCTCTGTAGTTTGGTTACTTCAACTCATATTTGATGCATTGTTGATAAAATAATTAGAGGTGGACCAAGAATAGATGAAAGAAACGACAGATCAGCCGATACTCTTCATAAATATTCTGAAAAGATTTAGCAGCTGTAAACAAAGTACAATAATGAAACAGTAATACAGCGTACAGTTATGCTCCTCTTCCCATAGACTATAACACTGTGTAGCATTAAAGCAGAGAGGGTGTGCCTTTGACCTGAACTCCAGCTGCTCCTGTATGACTGATGGATGCAGGCGCTGCTGCACGCTGGCTGCCATCTTGGATCTGCTCGGGTGTCGTTCACCCACAGGGCAGACAGTAGCCGGAAGATAAGCAGAGCAGCAGTCAGTGCTTTGAACATTTGGCTGGTGAAATGTGGGGATGACACAGGAAACTGTATTTTTATTGTGAGCTGTCAGTAAATGCTCTGACTGTGTCAGGGAGGAAGTGAGACAGCTGGTTAGAAGTATGCAGAAGAAGGAGAAGAAGAAGAAGAAGAAGAAGTGTCCTTGAGCAACTTGCTTGGCTCCAGAAAGCTTCTAAAATAAGTGTGGCACATGTGATCAGATGCCTTTGGGTCATTAGCCGCGGGCGACGTGTCGAAGCTCCTGGGTGCGGTGCATTTGTTGTCGTGAGGAGTTTCACGTTACCCTTTGGCTGAGTTTGAGTTTGCAGGAATCAGAAGGAATTCCAAAGTTCGAGGACTAATGGCAGCAGCTCCGAGACAAACACCACGGCTATATTAGAATAAGTAAGCTGTCAAGAGCTGCCAGTGTTGTTTCCTGTCAGAGCTTTAAGAAAGCAGTAAGTGAATATCAGCTGTTGTCCCAAACTGACCTCTGTGGCGAGACGACATTAAGCTGCTGTCTGCAGTTTGAACTGTGGCTGAGAAGGATGCAAAAGTACACGATCTAATAAAGAGGTCAGCTGACAAACAGTAGATGGATCGAATAAAAAAGAAGTGACGGTTAGCCGAGAATGACTCAGCTCTCGGGCCTGTTTTGGTTAGCCAGACACTTCGGTCAGACAGTCAGACTGTGTGTGGGCACTCGTCAGTGACAGCCGGCTGCAGGACGGGCCGTGGGTGGCGTTGCCAGTGATCAACTGTGGCACGCTGTGTGCATTTGGACAAACGCACACATGCTGACACGCCGAGTGCCAAACAGCAGGGCGAGGCAGTCCGCGAGTCATTGTCCTCTGTCAGCATGACAGGGAGATGGAGGTGGCGTACATTTGTTGTTTTCCCCCCGCTGTGAGTTATTGTTTCAGAGCCTCGGTGCTCCAGTAATGTGCAGTGCTGCACTCGTGCATTTCATCCGTCGTATTTGACTTTTATCTGTATGTTTTTGTGCACGCCTGTCCTTTCCGTGCTCGGTGGTTGAATGCATCAGCGCGTGTTTATGTACGTACGGCATGCACCGGTTTGCATCCTGCTGGTTACGTGCCCTTGCTTGCGTCGTTGTGATAGAAATCATGCCAGCGCTGCATCGTTTAGCACGATTAGTCGAGTAAGACTTGCATCTTTATGAAAAACTGAACATTTCTGGGCGTGAAAAACCTCCCATGTGCACAGCTGACCAATCAGACCATTACAAAGTGGCGAAGAAGAACAGAGCTATGGGGCATTTATTCACAAGTTGTTATTATTAAAGTTTAGATAAATAGGAGCTTAGTGTGAATAGAAGGGCAACAATAAAACAAATAATACACAGTTATGAGTAACTTCAAAAACATAAGACTTGAAAAGCCAAAATAAAATGATAAAAAATGTCTGTAAAGCTGAAGAAGCAGATTTAAAGTTTATCTTTGTAGATAAAGACTTCCAGCTGCTCCCAGGCCCTCCAGCAGGCGCTCCCAGGCCCTCCAGCAGGCGCTCCCAGGCCCTCCAGCAGGCGCTTCCAGCAGTTTAGGAACAGATAAAAGCTACTTAGGCCGTTTGGAAAAGCTAAACTCCCCAGGACGGGATGTTTTCCACAGTTGTCCTTTTTTCACATGTAACAAGCAGCAGGAAGTCGTCTCCACCAGGCACGTTCTTACCTCTGGAAATCACCCCTTTGGTTTTGTGGGCAAGCTGTCTGCACAGCGCTCGGTGGGGGCAGCACATGGCGTGACTTCGCATGGTGTGAATTCACCAGAATACCTGCGCTATTTGTACCTGGGCACAATCTGACTGCATCTGACATTTGCACTCTCACACGCACCTCTGTGGGGTGATTTGCCGAAAGGTTCGGAGCTTTGTTTTCATTGTAGCTTGTTCACAAAGTGGAGAAAGCACCATGATGCCACTGTGGAATTTAGAAGGATTTCCATTTGTTTCCCATACCTGCCAGTCTTGTGGAAAATAAACGGTTCCTGTTATTTAGCATTAATTTTAGTACGTGACTAAGCCTAGTCTTGATCAGCAGTTATTTCTTTGCTGTAACACTGCTTCTTGTCAATAAGTCTTTACTGTTTATAAAAGGCGCCACGTTTGTAAGGAAAATGCTTCTGTGGGTTGAGCAGCAGAGTTGAGTGTGTGGGTTGCATCCATGAAAAACTTGCCAGATCTTCTCTGCCAATGCAACAGCTTATTCTGCTATTGATGGTTGCAGCATCGTCATGTAGAGGGAAGTCAGAGACCGGCTGTGAAGCTGGTGCCCCAACAAGACAACCCTGTCAGTACTTATGCACATAGTCTGCTACAGATTAGCAGGACGATATGGTCAGCAGCTACCTACTGACCCTGCAGCACACGGTCAGTCTCCAGTCTCACACGTCTGCTGGGACGCCTGCCCTTCACCATCAGACCATTTGTGCTGCTGTCAGCAACGCGTGCACTGGAACCTGAACGTGTGGAGGGACGTGATGCTCATTGCAACAGCTTTTGATGGAGGCCGTGCGATGGTGTGGGCCAGCATCTCCCACTAAAGCAATGTTGGAGGCAATCTCAGTGCAGAGATATGAAGATTATGCAAGCAGCAGCAGTCCCATATCTCCAGAGTCTGGGACTGAACTCTGTCCATCCAGATGACAGCACTCGCCCCCACAGTTTAACAGACACTACCTCCAGTTCACGAGTGCAGAGGGTGGAGCAAGACGCTGCAGATCTGAAACTCAACCCAGCTGAACACTTGTGGAATTAGCTTGAGCCAGATTGACCGACGCAGCCACACTGGCTGACGACCCCACAGCAGTGTGTGACCTGCAGGAGGAGGCGGTGCCAGGCTGTTGGGGCTGCGTATGCTTCTTCCACATCCTGCTCCGGCTCCTCTTAGAAATTCTCAGTTTGTCTTGTTTTGTCAGATTTCAATTGTCCGATTCAATAAACGACAGCAGTCAACAGCAAACTAAGACGTTTGACGTAGCAGAGAAGATGTGGAAAGGTTTGGGTACAACCCACAAATTCACTTTCCTTACAAATGTGTCACCATTTAAAGAGAAATCAACAGTATGTCATTTACAGCTGAGAGGAATCGTTGGAACACACCAGTAATGGACCAAACACACGTTTCCTTCCTTGTTGCTTCCTGAGTGCTAAGTGTAGGGCTGCTCAATTAATCGAATTTGAATCACGATTATGATCTGGGCTTTGAACGATCATTAAAAATGACTGAGCCCATTATTAGCCCCTCCCTCGTGCTTTACTCTCGCGCTGCTCCGTGTGGCAAATCGAGCGCACCTCTCTGCGTCTTGAACACGCGTCACAACAATTAAGAGCAGCGGTCTCCAACCTTTTTTGCGCCACGGACCAGTTCATGCCCGACAATATTTTCATGGACCGGCCTTTAAGGTGTCGCGGATAAATACAACAAAATCAAACTAGAAAGCGAAAATTTCTGAAGAAATTTTAAGTGTGCCTATGCCGCCGCTAATCA